TCATATGATTTTATATATATATATATATATATACACACATACACACATAAATTTATAAGCTGCTAATACCACAATGCAGCTACCAGTACACAGATGATGAAAACAATAACTTGAGTAGGTGCTTGGATTTATTCTAGTAGGACCATGGCCATACACACAGAAAATCACGTTTAAAACGCATTTTAAAACCCTCCCCCCAATTTACAGATGCTAACCCCTTTAAGGCACACAGTAAATTTAACCCATAGTCTATACAATCGCACGTTCTTTACAACTTGTTTTCTATTTAGCACTTGTAGTCTGTGGCTACAAAGGTCCCCAAAGGCAATGGGGAAAAAACATTCTGATTGTCTCCAGCGAGCCCTGGATCAGGCTGTCTCCTTCTAGATCCTCTGCACTGTGCCCGTCACGCCGGCAAATCTAGTATATTCTTGCTAATACATTTGAGAAGACTGACTGTGGTACGAGGGTTATGTTCCTAATAAGCTCTTCTGAATGTGCAATGAGCTCTGTCCTTTCCTCTTCTGTTTACTGTTACTCATTCTGTAGTAGCTAGTAAAAAAATAAATAAATCTATAAACATTAAAGAAAAGAGACTATGAGCTTAGCTCACCTTGTTTTATTGGTTTAGTGTTTCTGCGGCTTTTCATATTATTTGATTTATTCTTCTCCTAGACACAGATATGTTAAAAAAAAGTTTAGCAACACTGTTTTTGCCTCCCTCTGATCATCTCACAACGCAGGTAACAATAAGGATGTAACGCGTAACTAACAGGACTATTAGCTAGCATTATTTTCTTTTAAATAACCCTGCAAGAACATTAGTAGGGTATGACCCTGCAGTATCCCAAAGCAGTTTATAAATTATTTAATATATGCTACTAAAGTTCATTGAAATATGAAGAGCAGCTCAGGCCCAGTATCTCCATTAAACCCCACAGGATTTGCTTTCTGGTGTACAGCGTTTATTGCTCGTGTAAGCAACCTCCCTGTAATGCTCCGTTTTCCTTTCAGAGGTTCTTATGTCCATCTATGCTGGAATAAAATGATTTATCAGGGCCCAAAAGGAAGGAGAAGCTTCAAGTAACTAGTGTCATAGATGAACACCCCAAAAAATGGGTCTGAAAATCAAAGCCAGATTGCCATTCGTGTATCTTCTGTGTGGTTTTCAAACTCATGTTTAATTCACCTGGGGTTCTCCTTTCTCAAAGAAAACCAAAAAGGGCAAAAGCTGAACTGCAAAGCTGCCTGCCAGACATGCCCTAGAAGAGAGAGGGGGACAGCTTCAAACGAGGAGGAGGAGGAGGAGGAAGAGACAGAACACAAGTAGTTCCAAAACCAGACGTACTTTAAACCATCTTACACACGTCGCGGAGAAGAGCTGAGCAACAGGAGGAGTGAAACTGTTCCTGACACCTGAAGTTTCAGCGGAACAGCCACCCCCGTGCCTCTGCATTACAAAAGCACGTGTGATATGTGAAAATAAATAAAGTGTCTCGGGCCCAAGACACGGTAGCGGGGCGCAGGCTGGCGCAAAGAAGGGCCCCTAAAGGGAGTCAAGGTGCTTAATCAAAGTGCAGAAAGGCTCAGGCCGGGACTGAGGTACTTCTGTTCACCCACCACTAAGGGGGATCTGGTAGAGCAGCGAGCGTGCATGCAAGTACTCAATAAAAAGCATCAAACCCTGCGGTCTGACACTAACCTTCAACATCACATAATGGCACGTGACTGTAGTTAGAGAGAGTATTTTTGGAGGCATGTGCTTTCATTACTGTGAAATACCTGGGTGCACATGGCTGTAACTACACCCGTGAAGTTACAGTCTGAAACCCTGACCTGGACTTCCCACGAGCTGTTCAGCCTTACGACTCTGAGGAGTTCAGAACAGATATTCTCACCACAGATGTAAATCAGGATCAGATCACTCTTGTGGGTACAGAACAACCTCCCTCAGCTCAGAGAAATCTGAGACACAAACCAGTCCCTACTCTTCACAGCTCTCTCTAAAGAAAATACAAGCAGTCTTGTTTACCTCATCCTCATCTGCATTTTCCTCGTCATCCTCAGACTCCAGAAGCAGCCTCCTCTTTCTTCTGAGACGTTTGACAGGTCTGTCAGCCTCATTCACCTGAGAGCCACTGCTGGTATTAAGATTTCTACTATTTCCCCTGTTTCTGCAATCATCTGGAAAGTCTTTGGTATCGCTAAACATCCAAAATCGAAAACAAACATTGAAACAAACAAAATTGAAAACAAAACTAAAAGTGCAACAATACTCCTCAAGTACTCCCAAGTGCCTCTGTACCTCTTTAGAAGAACGATGATGCCTGAGCTGAGAACCTAAAGAAGTGAATCACATCTGCAGGATTTGCCACGTCCGTATCTTTTAAAAGCACTCGGAAGCACTGACACAGCTCTCGCCACCAGAGCAGCTCGAGAGGGGTTTTTTATTATGCCTTTTTACAACTCTGCAGGAAGTTAAGGCAGCATCCTTATCTGCAGGATGGGGAACTGAGGCGTCAGGCACTCAGCCAGCATCTCCTCAGGCTGGGAATAGAAATGAGGATGGAGCTCTCAAGAGGGGACTTCTGTCGGGCACGGGAGCCTCAAGGGGAAGAGCAAGGTCATCAGCAGGTGCCTCTCGCTCTCACGATTTCAATTCTACTCACAGCAACGCTTTTCTCTAACAGTGTTCTCTTCAAACATTTTAAAACTCAGAACAGGAAGAATCTGGGGTTTCTTTACCTGTCCCTGTGCTGCTGGGAACCCGTTTGAGTACAAAACTTTCCATTCTCAAAGCAATCCATTTGCTCACGGGCTTGGAGATGGAAGCAGGGCACGTCTTCTCTGGGCACTGCAGAAGCAAAGGTAAGGGCAATTATTAAATTAAAATGTTAAAACACCTTTCATGCCACCAGTTCTGTCAAAGTCCTTTCCAAACTTCCATTAAGTGACCCTCGGCATGCCATCGTGAGGGAAGTAATCATTATCTGTGCGCTGGCACGCAGAAAGAGCGTACCACCTCATCAAAGAAAATCCCCTTTTATCTGTAATATTTTAATTTTGGAGAAACCCTGCCTCCTGCAAAAGCGATAAAGGAGGATATAATCTCAAGGCTATAACCAGGACACAGTTACAAATCTTTTTATAGTTCTTTATTCCTAGTAACCCTCTAACTTGAAAGGCAAATGTCAAACAAGTCTGGATACCTTTAATACAGTTGGTTAGTTTTTAAAACTTCTGCCTTTATACATACTTTGCAAGTATGAACATCCTTCAGAGTAGCCTTTAAAAAGAGGATATTATTGATGGGAGAATAGAAACAATTATAGGATAATAAAGGGATATATATCAATCCTCCATCTGAAAGCACACATGAAAACATAAGGAATAACTCCAAAGTATAGTTTGTGTTTACTTTCTCCTCTGATTTGAGCCCATCCTAGTGCAAGTTAATTTATCTTTCATATTTTAATGAAAGACAATTGCAGTGGTCCCCATTACCAGCCATACTTTGCTCAAGTAACTTGACATGCAAATTGTGCACGGAGGCTCCTACATCCACGTCATTCCTGTTCTGCAGTCAGCAGCACCGCCTGCGTGCGCTGCCTTCATCAATCCATTTTCGAATGCACCATTAAACACTTTAAAAGCAAAAAAAAAAAGAAAAAAAGAAAAACCACACCACACAATCCACGACGCTGAGCTATGAGTCACTTGGCTTTTTGTTTAAAGCCATTTTCATAGTCTCCTCACCAGTACTTGTACTCATTCTGCTAAGGCGACTGACATTTTTCATTTCTATCTGATTGCTCCCCGCAGCCCAATAGGGATGTCAGATGGGCCCGGCTGGAAGGGGGCAGGCAGAGCAGCGCGCACGCGTCCCTGCTCCCAGCACAACTCACAGGGCCCTCAGAGACCCATGATTCCAGGCAGGGAAAAGACAAAACGCGTAAGAACCGAGAGCACTTCGAGAGCTCCGCTCAATGAGAAGTCACCGTGATCTATGGGACACGCTTGGACTAAAAGGGTGTGAAAAATTCTTAGTGCTGAGGTGTCCATGCGAGAGCTGGTTCTTCTCCTGATGGATTGGCACCTCCTCAGCTCGCGCAGACAAGGAGGATGATCCGTAATCAGCAGGAGCAGAAGCAAATGCCTCTAAGTGTTAGTGAATCTGCAGAGCTTACAAGGAACTTTGAGATGAGAAAAGCCAGCAGGGAAGACAGGTACGAAGCCTTCCTACCCCAAACCAGAAATAGTTCCATCAAAATCCTGCACAAAGCCAACTGGCTTGCCCGGGCAGGCAATCCCCCGAGAGATCGCTCCCTCCTCACCGAAGAAATTCCCTCAACCAGGGAATCACCTCAGGGACAGCTCTGCCCTGACTAGGGATGGAGCATCACTAACACAGACCTTCCACAGAGAACGAACGCCCTTTCCGTTACTGCACCGGGATGCAGGGGTGATGTTGAAGACAAGGGGACACTGAACGGACTCCAGCTGCTGTCCTGTGGTGCCCGTGTGTCCCAAGTTAATTCCCACATCTCCTGCCACCACCCTAGAAGATCTGTTTTGGTACATGGTGTGAGGTTGTGTGTCACAACCATGTGCTGCCCCGTCTAACCAAGAGCATCTTTAAAATATGACCTTACACCGGATGACAATGGTACTCCTGGGATGAGAGCTCTTCATCCCACTCCCTTCCCAGCACTGGTCTCCACGAGCACTCCCTGGAAGAAGCTCAGGCACACCTGCGAGGGAGCTCTACTAAAACAGTGAGTAATCTAACCAAAAAGGAAACTAGTGGTTTACCAAAGTAAGTGAGGCTGACCAGCTTAACCGAGTGGTCAGGAATGAAAGACCTCAGAGGTTAATACATAAATATTCTGAATTGAGCTCCTGGTTTCTGGAGGACAGGTCTGCAAAGAGCTGAGATATCCCTTGTCCGTTACATTGATGTGTGTGTCCAGTAGCCTGCTTTTATTATGCTGTTAAAATGCATTTTTTCCCTAATTTCAATTACAGTAGCCTTAGAAACCTCAAAACTGTTACGGCTAAGAGTATAACTCTTGACATGAGCCACATGAGAGGAGTTTCTCCAGGATGTTCACCTGAAGATAACTAACACTACCAGGGATTCATCCTGAGCCAGGAA